ATGACGAATTCTCTGGGTCAGCAGATTACAGTTGAATTTCTGATCCAGGAATGGAATCAAGCCAAAATATCTACATGGGCAAAATAGCTTTTCCTTCTGTTTTTTTCTTCCACTAGCATGGCAGTCAGCCTTTGGGATGAATATGAATGCTATTATGTTTAAACTACTAAATATGAAAGTAATTTGTGGTGGTTTAAAATACTAATATAAGGATTGTTTACATTTGTTTATTTTTTATAAACACTAAGCTGCATTTGCTGGATGGAAAAGATCCTACTGGCAATGAATGGGGAGTGCAAAGGACTCTACTCAAAGAAGTTAGTAAATTAAATGGGAGTTCATAGGTGAGAGAATAGCCCATATTTTAAGGTTGACATCACTACTTCTGTGGCATAAATTCCCACCCTGTCTTACTTTTCTTTTACTGCTTAATATAGTTCTACCCACTTTTTCTTTGTATTTTCCCTATTTACTCTGTGTTCAAACCTGGCCATTAGATTCATAATTGCTACCATATTAAACATGAGAGACTCGCTCTCCAGCTATGCAGAAGGGCATTTAAGCTGAAGTGGCAAAAATACATAGAGGAAGGGAAGGGAGGAAAGGAGGAAAGAAGGAACAGAGGGATGGAGGGAGGGAGGGAGGGAGGGAGGGAGGATCCACCGAAGGAAGAAAGAAAGGAAAACAGAGAGACAAGAGGGAGAGAGAAAAGAATGGAGAAAAGGGGCATAGGAAAGGGAAGAAATAGAAAGGGAAGGGAAAGAGGAAAATGGGTGAAAGAAAGAAGAAAAAAAGGAGCAAATGAAGAGAGATTAAGAAAGCATTTCTACATTGACTTTTTGCTTGAACATATCCAACTTGGCCAAGCTGACTTTCAACTTCCATGTGGTTATGATTGAAGATGCATTCCGTTAAAGACTTTTAATGAGGAGGCTAAATATTTTAAATAAATCTCAACATAAATTCAATTTATTGTGGAATGTCCAAAATAGGGAAATTCTTATAAATTGGGAGCAAATGAAGGAGTGTGTGCATGAGCAGGACATGCACAGGTTTTTTAGCTTGCTAAGAGCTTCTTTGAACTATTCAAATATTTAAAACAATAATCTCTAAAAGGAGCAAAAATTCAGTTTAGTAGAGAAATCCCAATTCTACAACTTAATAGAGTTATCACTTTTGTCTTCTCAAATACTCTAAGAACAATACCAAATTATATTTTTGAGCATCCAAACATGGCTTCAACTCTTCATTTTTTTCTCAGATACTCCCTTAATTTCAACTAATTAGTCAGAATTATTCATTTAGTGTCATATTATTAATGTAGTGTTGTAAGTATTTATCCTAAAAAAATACATCTAAGGTAATCTATATATGTAAAATAACTTAAAGAGTCACTTGAAAGCCATTATTTAGTTTGTCATATGTAGGTTACTTCATTATAACCTATTTCATGGTCTGAATTATCTGAATACTCATGAATGTAAACAAATAATAACAAGGCAAAGGAAATAAACGTATCACGTTATATGGGCCAACTGTTTACCTGTAGGAATGAAGAGTAGGTTACCATTCACATTTCAAAATTCTCTTTGTCTTGAAATGTCAAAAGCCACTAATGAGTTTGGGATTCATTTCCAGATTATTTTGAGTTTTGAGGAAATCTGTTCTCAATTCAGTATTATTTCTAAAAGAAATTTTAGATTTGTCAATTCTGGAATGTGATAGCCTTCCTTAGAAAACTGAGATAAAGACAGCTTGGGACTAGGACCGTCTCTATTAGAAATGACTGTATGTATGTATACAAGTTGTGTATTGCAAATGACACCTCTAACTTCTTAAGTTTGCTGAAAATGACTTTAAAAAGAGTGAATTTTAACACTCTGTGTAGTAGCATAGCGGAAAGTTTCCTGAAGTGCTAAAGGTTGGCTAAATGTTTTATCCTGATGGCTGAAGGCAATAGCATTTTGTCTGACACCTGACTCATTTTTCTCACTTGAGAAACCTAAAATAAATCAACAGACAACAAGTTTCTCTTTTTCCTAGTTATTTGGACTACATAATGAATGGGAGTTTACCTTCTCTTTTGTTGTCTATCTTTACAAAATATATACTACCACAGTATTTAGAATGTGTACTTTTACTGTAAATTATCCTAGGCCAGTTACTTTAATAAAACCTTCACATTTCTTTGTTTTTGGCACGTATCCATATGTGGCATTTCTTACCTTTCCACCCCTACCAAGATGATGGTTAGAGAGTACATATCATCTTTATTTCCTTTTCTTCCCCTGAACATATGATGTATGTTATAGTAGTTTCTGCTAGGCTTATTTACATTTTTTCATTAATACAACATTTAATAAAGAAAAAAAAAACCTTTGTTACTTTAACATTTTGCTCTACTTAGAAAATATATTGTTTTTAAATATCCCACAGTTTTTACTGGAGAAAAGAGTAACACTTCAGGTTAGACTTTAAACATAATGCATTATCAATGAATTTCAGCCCAGAAAGAATTAGCCTTCTGGGTGCAGAGCATCCCAGTCTTGGCCTCCAGCCAGGGCTGATATTCTAGTTTTATTTTATGTTTCCCCAGCTGCTTTCTAAATCTGGGGAGGCAGCACCAGCCAGAATTTTCTAGTTTGAACACAGTATGCTAAACGCTTCTGTTCTCCCTTAGTAGTTGCTACTAAATGATGCACAGAAAGTTTGATCTTTGAATTTTATTTTCAAAGGTCCCTTTTCTACTCAGAGAGAAAGTGCAATGGGTCGTATAAACATTAGACCTATGGAGGACAACTATTTATTTAGCATTTTTAAGAACTAACGCTAGTATAGAGATTGAATTAAGAAACTAAATTTATTTTAAATCCAATCACAGAATGTTTTTTTGAGAGAAGAAAGAATAGGTATAACAGGTTTAATACTCTAATAAAATAAGCAAGATTGTTCTTTTCCTGAGGTGAACATATACATAAACACGCATTTCTATTTTGATTATCAAATATAGAAATTTCAAATTATGATTTTTATATATAGTTATATATCAAATAATCCCCATTTACATCTTTTTGGTATTTAGGGTAAAATGTTTAAAAAGAAACATGTCTTAGATAGGAACTCCATCTTGCAGAAAACAAAATGCAATTTATGTACATTTTGTAATTATTTATTAAAAGGAAAAGAATACTAAAATTCTCACGAGATGTTACTTTTCTTTAAGAATAATGCCTGAGTTTCTGAATTGCATCTATATTCTCCCTTAAAGGTTGATATTCATGTTAATAAGTCATACACATTATAAATTTTTCAAAAGGTTTTTTATGCATCAATCTTTGTGGCAACCAATTGCCATTCAGATAGAATTAAAAAGGACAATTCTGCTTAGTGTTCAATTTCCAAAAATCTTCTCAATTATCTTACTATGTCTATCAATGTAAATGCTGTGTAATATTGATAATAAAGTATACATGTATAAAATTCCTTATTTTTAAAAATGTCAACAATCATAGCAAGTTTAAATTCACATTTATATATTGAGATAAATGTAAATGGAAAGTATATTTTGCTTATTAATCACTTATTTTTAATGAATTCCAATTGAAGACTTAGGCTTTTCTAGTCAGTGGATTTATAATGTCAAGGTATACTTGCCTCTTAAAAAAATGACTAGCATAGAAACTAGTTGGCATCTGGATATAGCTAATTGGAATACTTTCAATAGAGGAGATTAAAATTATTTTTTGATATAAAAAACTTCTAAATCTTTGTGGAGAAAATTTATTGTCTCCTAGTTTTCGGGAAATTCAACCAATTACAGTAACTTTTATCTTAATCAATTTCCTCTTGTGGCAAGAAACTCACAGGATTTTAATCATGAACTTGGTGAGAGTGGATAACTAAAATCATTTTAAGAGTTACAGAAGCATACTCATATCCTGGTATGTGATTTATTTAAAACATTTATGATCTTGAGTTAATGAAAAATATTCTGGTAAAAGCATGATGAATGCAAGCAATGATGTGTTTAAAAGAGACATGATAAAGCATAAACTATTGAAACTTTTTCGGAGCTATATGAGAACTCACAGTATAACCCATCATCATAAACAAAACATATCATCACTTGAAAATGCTAAGATAATTACTCTGAGAAATATAGTATTTTGTCAGCATGAATTACGAGGAAAATAAAGTTTGTTTCCTTTATATTTAGATTCCTCTAACAGAGATACTGAAGAGAATGAGTAAGACCATATTTAAATACCATTTCTTGCATTCCAACTTATTCTTTGCACGAGGAATTTGGAGGTATTTATAGGTATAACATAAAGCTGTTTCTGTCTTCCTGGAAATATATATATATATATGGAATATGACATATATTGTTCTAAGAATTTATTTTTCTTTCCTAATAGGAGCTAGGAAGAGAACATCCATTTCTTTATAAGCAATTTATGACTGTATCATACAATTTCAAATGTCTGTGACAGCTGTTTCTCTAAAGCAGACCATTAGAACAGAGCATGCCTATAAATCTCAGATCCCAAGGAGAGGAGTTCCCATCGTCGGTAATTTGAATGCCTTGTTTTCAGTAACACTTTTTGGGGAAATATTTATAACCCTACAGTTAGTTTTGGATATTGAATTTGTAACATTGGTGATTTTGGAAAGACTAAAATTGTCATCAAATGAGATGTTTTCTATGCAAATGTTCTGGCAAATATATCAAGTTCTGTTAAAATATATCAAGTTGTATCTCTTTTTTAGGCAGGACTCTATTTTCCATTTATCCTACAAATATAACTTCTACAAAGCATAATGACAGTTAAGAAAACATGCTGAAAAGGGAGATTGAATTTGGTTTTAAAATATTATCTGCTTCTACATAAATCTTTCACAAATAAAACTTTATTGTGTTCAACTTGTTTACATAGCTAAGCAACACAAATCCATTTATTGTACACGCCTCGGTTTCAGCAAATTAAGCAGTAACTTACCTAGAGAAGCATTTCAATTTTTTTTCTTTTCCTAACTTGAATTTATCCCGAGTTAGAAAATGAGATATCCGGTATTCAGGTTCACTTGGCTCCAGGTTAATTAGAAGGAGCTTTCAGTTCATGCAATCTGCCTGAACAGTATTCCAAGAGCACTCTCTAGCTCCAGTCCTAGTATCTGAACTCTTCCAGCAGAGTCTTTTTATTTATACACACATTGTCCTTTTCAAAACAAGCAGCCAGCTGGGATGATTCAAACCTCTGTTCAGCACACCGTTAAAATGCAGCTTCCTTCTTGGACACGAGAATTACACCAGGGAGCAGACCGAGTACAGCAAAAAGGCAATGAGAACTATTTAATCACCGGAATACCAGCTGCTCCTGCTCTGCTGTTGCTACTGCCGCTGCTTCTCTTGTGTAGCTGTAGTCGGTCTTTCCCTCCTTCCTCTCTCTCGTGTCTCCAGAACTATAAAGGCAGCTTTGCTGGGTTATGATTGGCAGAAACGGCCAATTCTTTCAGCTAATCATCCTCAAGACTTTCAAGGACCTGAAGCCGTTGTGATGTCATCCAGTCAGTGGGATGTCACACATGAATACATTCCAACAGGAGCTAATTCAGCGATCCGCTGCATTCCTCTCACATCACGGTGATTGATTAGATGCTCCTTGAGGATCTGCATAATCTTTCATTGTACAGTTGGACTATTTCCTATGAAATTTGAGAATAAAATTCCACTTTGCAGCTATAATACTGTACCATAACATTCTGTTGGGTAAAATAAGAAAAATTCAGGACAGGGTTTTCTGCTGCAAAGATGTGCCAGTCAAACACACAATTTACAAACTCAAAGAAAGCCAGCAATGAGCCATGGGAAACCTGGACAAGTATTAGTGAACTACATACTCCTGAAATTAATAATAATGTTTTAGACCATAATAAATACTAGAAGAAAAGAAAGAATATATGTGTGTGTGTTTATTGTATGCATTGTTTTATTAATTGAGATAAATTACTGGATTATACTGGAAAAGTTCTTTTCTATTCCCAGCTCTGACAAAAATTGTCTTCATGTTTCGGTTCTTTTTTAATTGGCAACATAAGATGATTACCTGCTTTCTGTTCTCTGCTAACTCATGTGAACTCATAAAGATACTATAAAGTACTTTGGTATACTTTATGTAAAGTTCTTTAAACTTCTTCATTAGAATACACACAAAATAAAAGTAAAGTGCTTTCAACTGCATTTCTTCACTCCAGACTATATGATTACGAGGGGCTCTTCTTGCTTAATTACATAATCTCTGCCATTTAATTCAGTGGAACAAAGATGTGCTAATGAGAATTTGGTCCAAGACCCCTAATGGGCTAGAGGACAGAGCTGCAAACTTTTCCCAACTTCAAGTATTCCTCTGTCATATGGGTATCTTTGGTTATAAACAGTTCTGCTTGAAATACTGGGATGGTTTCTGAGAAACCCTATGTATGACTTCCAGGTGAGGGTGGGAGGGAGTCCCTCAAAATCCAGCAGTTATTGATGATATGGACTTTTATATGAGTAATTTTAATGCACACAATATTATTATTGTTATTATACTGCACAAGGTTTTGAGGGTCAGCAAGCTGTAGACACATGCTAGATAGAGGATAAGAAAAAACATCTAGAAAATTAGAAAGAATATTTACCAGTTATTCATAAATGACAATACAATCTAGTATATAATAGATCATGTGCCAGTTATTTTTTCAGGTTCACAGGCTAAATATATATTAAAGGAAAAATTGTATTTTATAATTCATCAAAAAAGAGTCCAGGTATTACTTACTACCTTTTAAGAACATTTGGAATGCAAAAATGCATTTGATGATCAAGTCAGAATTTTCTTAGTGATACATATCAAAATTCAAAATGGATAAATAAGTTGCAGTTAAACATTTCAACAATGTTGTAATACAATAATTATTAGTGGAATAGCATCATGCCAAACACTAACTGTTGATAAATAAAGTGAAATAGGATACACTTTAAAAGCTAATTGAAGATTTTCCACTGTATGTAGTTGGGCTCACTAATAATTTCTTTATTCAAGTTTAGTGGTTATTCTTAAGTCTTACCTTTACAAAAATGATTTAATGAAAAGAAACATTGTTATAAAATACTCAGGGTCTTTATCCTGTTGATATCATTCCATTTCACATCTCCAGAAAGAATGCCACTTTGTCAGAATGATTTTAGTTATTGGAACTAAATTACTACACAGTGATATGATTACAAAACCATCACATTAAAACATAGAGCAAAATTAACATGCTCAGCACTGGTGATAACTATAGTTGATGTTAATTGATTACAAGTGAAAGTTGATCAATTTTGTCTCTAGTATGAGTCCATAAACAATGTTTTTAGTTGAAGAGACAGTTTTATTCCCTGGAGTGAAATGAATACTAAAGTGAAACTACTTTGGCAATGTAAAAGTGTTACATATAATATTAACGGAAGATATTCTTACTAAACGTAAAATATTTTTAAATATCTGTTAAACATAAACTTTTAGAAAAAAAAATCCAGAGATAAGGAATGAAAATTCATTGAAAGGGAAAAAAAGTCCACTTTAGTCTTCTCATTATTCATTAAGAAATAAATTAAATATCGAGGATAGACTGTCCCATCGTGTAAATATGTATAAATGAATGGAAACTAACCAAAAAGTTCTTTCTTTTCTATTCCTAGGGAAAGCTGGAGAAATTCATAACATCTAAACAAAAACAATAAAAACAAAAAAATCTCAAAAGCATTTTGAACACTCTTTTTATAATTTCCTTTGTGTATTGTAGTCTCCAATGACTAAAAAAACTTATCTGTGAAATTATATAATCTTTTATCATTTTCTAATCTGTCATGTTGGGGAAATGAAGAAAATGACCTTGGACATTTCCAGGAGGGAATGTGATATGCAAGAGAGAAGACAGGGAAGAATTATTTGCTCAAAGTGGTTGTTTTTTTTTTTTTAAATCACTAAACCTTTGTTCCGCATTTATAGGCCTTGCACTTACGTCAAATGTAGTGTTATCCAATTAGTTTTTAGTAACATACATTATGCAAAGTATTCACCCAACCACTTATATTTGAATTCTATAGAAAAGAAAGTGAATGCTCTCATTTTTATTTTGACACCTCATAAAGTGTAGTATAATTTTTCCTTTATCTGTTAAGACATAGTTCAGACTTATACTAAGACCACAATGGATTTTTTTTTTTTGAGACAGAGTCTCACTGTGTTG